TACGTGAATACTTTAGTGGAATATATTTATCTCATACTTCTCCGTGGAAGAATATTCATATAGCGAGAATTTTGACAAAAAGTCGTAGAATAGAAGGAAACAATATTTCAAAAAAGATAATTCTTCAGTGTTTTTTTTTTTTTCATGAAAGTGCAAAAACTCGCTCAGCAGAACGTTTGGGACACCAGAGGGCTCCAAAGTCAATCAGGAACAAACGCTCTCACTGGCAAAGTGAGATCTATAGTTGAAAAAAAAAAAAAAACAGTTTTTAAAACCCAAAAGAAGAAGAAAAAAAAAGAATACTACGAAGCTGGAAATTTTTTCTTGTACCGTTAACAAGCTTAATGAAAACTGATTTGAAGTTGTAGAAAGCCAAACGTTCACAAACACCCATTTAATCTAGATTTGGTTTGTTTGAATTTCGCGTCAATCTCACTATTCGTTGGTAAAAGAGTAGCCCAAGAGTTGGCGGTAGGTGGTGATGACTAGCTACCTTCTTCTGTCTTACACTGCTAAATTAGGGACGGCTAACGCAGATAGCCCTCGTGTAGCCTTGCGCGCAATTCAAAACAAACAAATATCTGTTTATATATTTTGATATTGAATGCATAATTGATAATATAAGCATCTTCCGAGGCCCAGTATTTTTATAAGGATGAACTTTCATGAACTAGTCCATCTTTACAAGTTATTTATGCACAGACTTTTATAGCTAACTCATAAAGTCGACGCACTGTCCTGTAAGAATTGCCGAGTCTGTACGTCTGCTGATTAAGGTAACGAGAGGAGCTACACAAGTACGCCGTGCTACAAATGTTCTCATACACGATCTCTTTATACAATTGGCAGAGTCTACTGATCCATCACGTGCAGCCTCATAGCCGATTGGTGGGAAATGTACCACCACATATATCTAACACAGGAAATGAGTTATCAACACTCACATCAAACAGCTGCTATATGCTTTCTCGGCACTTTTATATACCCACTGTTATAGGCTCTTGAACGAAATGCATAAGCCACACATCCACTAAAAGCCTGCCTCTATTTTTGTTTGTATCTCTAGACAAAGGATAACATGGATATCTAGAAGATATATTTCATGATTACATTAAGTGCATCAAAGAAAACATGGTCCGATACTAGAAGTATTCCTTGTTTATTTACCTATGTATTTTTTTTTTATAAATGTGCAACAAATATTCAAACCCTATTTTTGTTTTGGGTTTGTTTCGAACCCTGATTAAAACTGCTTTTCATGTTGGTTCACTTTAAACTGAAGTTGTTGTTTTTTTTTTATATTAAGCACAAAGCTATACAAAGGGCTATCTGTGCTCTGCCTACCACTGGTATCGAAACCCGGTTTCTAGTGGTATAAGTCCACAAACATACCATTGTGTCACTGAGGGGGGGGGGCTTAAACTGAAGTAACAGAGCCATTACAAAAACTTAAATGAATTCCGGTATTATTGTTTTTATTTTTTAATTAGGTGACAACACATGTAACAGGAGTGTTAAATCTTTGAGATTTTACATAATGTGATACATGATCTAAACAAGACAAATGTATTTATGTGAAGTAAACGTTTGAGAGATGTGGACACTATTTATCCAAAATATATTTTTTGAAGTTTGAACCCTTTTACAATTATAAGTCGTTTTTAAATGGATAAATAAATCATTATTTTGAATAGATTTATAAAAACTATGGATGTTGAAATAGTATAAAGAATTTTCCCACGTGTTTTTCAGCTTAAGAAGTTATTCACTTCCTTCAGAAATAATCTTAGAACGTTTCATTAGTATCAGTTAGCTCCCAGTAGCACAGCGGTATGTCTGCGGACTTACAACGCTAGAATCCGGGTTTCGATACCCGTGGTATGCAGAGCACAGATAGCCCATTATGTAGCTTTGTGCTTAATTACAAACAAACAAAGTATCAGTTACCCATATTTTAATTAATTATTTTTGTTGTAAAACACTAGCATTATTTAAAATATTAGAGGTAAATTTTTAACATTTCACTCAACAGGACATTTAAATGATAATTTAAAGCGATATTATTATTTTTCAATTCGTATTATACCAAAATTCATAACTTACGTACAAAATTACAGAACGCCGCTAAAACATTTCACGGTCATGGTCAACTAACTTCTGTCTCACGGTATGACAACATGCACGAAAACAACGTGAAAATGTTGAACCTTCGTGACAGGAAAATACACTCATTTTCCTTCAACAATCATAATAAACTAGAAAAATAGAGATGAGAGTCTCTGGAGATCTTCACGCTCGTGGCGTGGGAACATTGATGATTAGATATTATCTGTGTAATAAGGCTATAGATGCCTAAGGAAAACCTAAAATTAGACGAGAAAAGATGAAACTTATTTAATAGTTGTGATAGTTTGGAAATAAAATGAAAGGCTAATAATCCATGTTTTGCAAGAGGAAAACCTATCCGTTCGATTATTAATACATGAACTTGTATTGAACTTGAATAAAATGCTCTGTTAAGGATTTTAATCATCAAAATTTACCAGAGCTTCAGTCTCAGGCATGCTAAAGATAGCGTGTAGTTGTCTTCCGTATATATATATATAAACGCCTCCCAGTGGTACAGCGGTATGTCTGCGGACTTACAACGCTAGAAACCGGGTTCGATACCCGTGGTGGGCAGAGAACAGATAGCCCATTGTGTAGCTTTGTGCTTAACTTCAAAAATAAAACAAACCGTATATAAACGGCTGTGGAATTCAAAATCGCATGGTCTGTTATGAGAGTAATAAAAAAGGGGATAACAGACTTTTGAGGAAAGAAACGCAGTGCTTATAGCTTATTACTCCAGTTAATCAATTTGGATGTAGAAAACGTAAGGAAACAAAAAACATTTTCGTAAATCTTATATATATATATATACATCAAATATATATATATCGCTTTCAATCTGGATCTCTTTAGGGCAAACAATGTAATGAAATACCTCGATTATACTGTAAGTCAGTATGCTGGCGGCCTTTTGGCGGGAGAGCCCAAAAATAACGACGGAAGAAACAGAATAGTTGGAAACGACGATAACCTAAAAAAGCTATCACTTTGTTTTCGAAGCTTTTTTTTTGTTGTTGTTGTTCTCGCATTTTCTCACTCCTTACAAGCATTCTTCATTTAAAAAATATTAAAAACAGTTAAAGAAAATGTTGATCTTTGCTGTAATCACTTGCGAAAATTATCTTAATGTGAAGAAGGGCACAACGGAAACTTTGATCAGTTAGGGGGGCGTCGCTATTTAAAGTTTGGAAAACACTGCTGTAAGTGATCTAACTTTTAGTCCACTAATGGTTCATAAATACTGTAAATGATGCAACATTTCGTTCACTAATGGTTCGTAAATACTGTAAATGATGCAACTTTTAGTCCACTAATGGTTCGTAAGTACTGTAAATGATGCAACTTTTCGTTCACTAATGGTTCGTAAATACTGTAAATGATGCAACTTTTAGTCCACTAATGATTCTGAGATACTGTAAATGATTTAACATTTCATCCACTAATGATTAAATGTAAAATTTAATATAAACAAATAAAACCATGTAAGCAAAAATTTCTGGTAGACCAATTTAAGAAACTATAAAAAATTATGAACACTTTATTGCTTCAGTGTTATAGAGCTTTTAACTTCTTTCAACGTGAATTAAAAATCGGAACACGTTTTGATAGAAAACTTTTCCAACACGTGTTATTTTGGTCACTTAGGAGAGGATTAAAAAATAAGGCATTGTATGTTTTTAACAATTCTGAAATACCGTATTCGCCGAATTGTTGATACTTGAAACCTCCCTCGATTTTAAATTTTATTTCATCAGAATTACAAAAATGTCCAAGAATTTGAGTTCATGAAAGCATTTTGAATGAACGACCTGATAATCTGTGTTCCAACCATTCACTTTTTGAATGTGTGTGTTGTATTAAACTTAACTAAAACATTGGTTTTGTTTATTATTTAGAATTTCGCGCAAAACTACACACATTCTATCTGCGCATTGACGTTCCAAGCCTAGAGGGAAGGCAACTAGTCAATAGATTCCGTCGCTAACTTTTAACAGGTTATTGCGTAAAATGAGCACATTATTAAAAAACACTGTATGAGCCGGTCGTGACCTAGTGGTTAGCGTGCCGTACAATGCATCAGATAGTCTGTGGCTGCAAAATCGCTTTCTGTGGGTGAATTACAACAGTTACAGTCAAATCACACTAATTGATTAGACTAGCGCAAGAGTTAGCGGTGGGTGCTGTAGACATGCTGCCTTCCCCCTAGTCTAGCATTTCAAAATTAGGGATGGCTAGAGTAGACAGACCTTGTGTAGTTTGACACGAACATTCAAAATAAACTTTTGCTTATATGTATAGTGTTTTTAGTTGTCTTTTATCCTCGTCACAGTGAACCAAAATTTCAGTTTGCGTTAACCAAGATTTGGTAAAATGTCAATACAGTTCCCTTTCAGCTTGTATTACTTAGTGTTTTAGCTTATGTTAAAACATCTTTATTATATTCGCCACAGAAAACATTCATAAGCATGAGTTTTAGGTTTCAGTGTTAAAAACATTATGTTGCAAAATACTGAAATCAGAAATCATTGTTAATGCAAAAAGATCACGTTGTGGTTAAAAAATATCGATTACAATTGTATTTAACAAATGCATTATATTACTGGAGTAAATAAATAGTTATATTTCAAACCCACTGAATTCTGTTGACATTAAGTCGAGTATTTCTATATGGCCTTTGTTTATGGCTTACCTTATACCTTTGAAAAACATTCTAAAATAAAAGACGCAAAAACACGTGTCATGAAAGTTAGCTTGGCCCAAGCACTTTAAAATAAACTGTTGAAAGTCATCTACTTATACATACTTAAAGATTAAAAAAGAAGAAGATGAGGGTGACATATTATGTAGATTAACATAAGTATACTAATAATGAAAAATAAAGCACTAACCAGCAACTCCTCTTCAGTAACGGAATTATCTGTATAATGACACAACTTTCTGGCACTAAAAGGCATTACTTGGCGAAGTTTAGACGCTAATAAAAGACAAACGGTTCCTAACAGCTGCAGTTGAGTTCTTTTAAGTTTTACAACAGACAGGAATCTATCCATGCAGTTCACAGCTAGGGGAAACACATCTTGTTGACAGTGTTCTCCTTCACAAACCTAGGTTAAGTAATAAAATACATTTGTGCATTAATATAGTATCGAAAAGCGTACTTTCAAATTACATTATGCCATATCACAAAACTACTCTGTAGGTATGAAATGGGATTAGAGACAAATCGGTATTCAGTATTAAGGTTTAAATTTTTTTTCAATTGAAGTATAGACTGTTCGTATTCTGTAAAAATAGTTGTTGTTGTTTTTTCAGAAGTTATGAAGTTAATGTTTTTGGACATATTATTTTATACCAGTTTAATTATATATTATATCAAGAACTTATGTAGTACAAAAGTCGACAAATCTATGACTAGACTGACTTAGGTAAAAAAAAACAAAAAATTAATCTCATATGCTGTATCCTATTACAGCATAAAACATATTTATCATGAATGTATATATCACGAAGCTAAAATAAGCTTGCACTAAATATTCAAGCTTTAAAATCTTACCTCCCACATCCAATCAGTCACTTTTTCCCTCATATAAGGCTTAATGTCCGATTGAAAACAGGCAAAATATGACGAGTTTGTATAGTATCTTTCTTCCAGTTGTAATAAGTTCTGGAGTACTCTATCACTTGTTAGTATAGGTTCTGGAGAAGCAGTGCAGGTATTCCTTTCCACTTTCTTTTCGAAACACAAAAGCTCTTCCATGACGACTTATTCTAAAGCTTTACTCCTCTGTCAGCATCAGAGTTGAGTGTCTCTAACAAGGCAGAACGACATCGGAAAGACTTCGATAACTTTAATTTATCATTACTTCATTACGTGCATTACACATAAGGAAGAAAGATATGTCGATTCAGTATTTTTATGTGCAAAATTCGTGAAGTTTGTATAATAATATAGAACTATTCAATAAAACTAGGTTAGAGAAGGAAACTTAGGACTCATAAAGCGCGTAGAAACATAGTAAAACAAACCTTATACATGTTTGATTATGACTAGTAAACTCGAAGCGAAACCAGTCAAGTTAGAAAGAAGGAAGAAACAAACTACTGTTGCGTTATCAACTATAGGATAAAGTATAGCAAGTGTTTATTGGAGGTTAAACCGGCGCTGAACGTGTGAAAGACGAACGCTGGGTTTTGTTACACGTGGAAGGCCAGCTGATCATCAGACTGTAGTTTCAGCAAAGCTCACGCAGGGTCTGACTGTCTCTAGAGCAGCTTCTCTTCCACCAGGAGTCGTTATGTCATGGTACGATCTGTGAGAATACTGTTGTCTTTCATTTCCATTTACTGCCGGTAGGGTGCGGAGAATCTGTTGAGGGACAACGAAAGTCCTTTGCCTTCTAATACTCTTTTTTTGTGTGTGTGTGTATGTGTGTAATAACATGACTGAAAAAGCTGGTGCGACATCCGGTAGTTACTGTTTTCAGAAGAAGAGTTATTTTCTTAACAAGAAACACTACCGGCCTTTTGAATGTGCAAGAATATATAATATGCATTAATCCCTATACAACGCACATCACGTTATACACAAATAGCTCTATTTGTGATTAGTACTTGAAGAATATCTTTTTTTTTTGTATAAAAACACGATAAGATCTACGTAGAGTAATTACAACATGTTATACCATTAAATTAAAGACAAATTGAACTTCAGACTTTCTATCCATCCCAAGTTTATGTTTTGTAAGTTATTTACACTCTGATTAACTGTCGATAACAAGCTATACTTGTTGCGTTTTTTTTTTCGAATATAACCCACACATTTAAAGTATTCGGTTTACTTTTACAATACATCACTACCATCTGATAACAATACGTGAAACACCCATTTGTAAGCGTGTATTGGTTGATCTTCATTATGTAACAAAAGCATGGTTACTGATCTGGGAGGTAAAAAGCTTAGTTTGTATACTTTACTTAGTTTTCAGCTATGTTGCTATAAGTTTTTGTACGTAATTTTGTGAAGTTTGTTTTCTCCCAATGCTGACGACCTCGAAAAATTGAAACTCGAATCAAAGTTACGTATAATTAGATTCAGATGTTTAAGTTTTTGGAGAAAAATATAAAGAAAATATTTTAGGCATAAATCCTCCAAGTTAATTCTTTATGTGCCTGTAAATTATAAAAGCTAATTCACTTATAAATTCTCAAAGCCTATTAAATACTTCAGGCACTTTAATAAAGATTTTCAAATAGTGATGTTGGCGTAGCGACAGCATCGTGTTGCTGATTATAAGGTACGGTTTAGCTGATAAAAAACTAAAATATAAATAAAGCTACATCCGCTACTGTAGGGTGTGCGTTACTTTTCAGATTGATCTTTCAAAGGTGGAGATAAAAAATACACGTGCAAGCTATTTAACAACACTTATCAGGGTAACTTTACACATTGGCACATTTGTTAGATTTAATTCATATAATGAAGTGACAGTGGACGAGAATAATAGTTACTAAAGTAGGAATAAAAACAAAACGTTTAAAACAAGCTACGTTAATCGTTCTTCAATTTCTTGTCTGGTTGACATATTATTGCATATTCTTCCTTTGCTTTCATTCATAAGTTCTTTTTATACACACACATGTATAAAACAAAACAAAAACAAACGTGTATCTGTATATTAAGACAAAAAATATTTGAAAAAATTAGACGTGTGTGTTACTTCAACAAGCTAAAAAAATTATTAGTATCATACGACCATCCAGTCAACGTTTTTCAGCTAAATGTCTCCCTCCCTCCTCTGTCTTACGGCCTTAGTGTTGACCATACATATTTCTTTTTCTTATTTTAATGAGCGATTTTAACATGGAATAACGTTATAGCAGTTGTTTGCTATTGGTATTAAGGTTTAAACACGACTTTCTGAAGTGGAAAATATCAGTATTTAAGATTCAGCATAACGGATTGTTCATTTAGTCTAAACAGTAGTTCATATTTGAAATATGAAGCTCGTATAGGTTAAAATGACAGAAGGATTGTGAGATAGCGTTCTCCATAAATAAAGTATGTTTAAACTTTAGTGGAGGAGTTATTTGTCGTGAAGAATATTGATGATTATTACAACCAATATTTAGTTTCTATGATTTTTTTAAGTTGTAAGTTGTTACTCAGCTTCAATATTGTATTGAGGCTACCGGAGAGTTTAAAGTTGAAAATTAATAATTTATTATTAAACTAACTCAAAAAGTGGTTACCATGCTGAACTGTGTGGATTCGAGGTTTCGTGGTTACTATCACCCCACCTCACCCCCAAAGAAAATAATGTGTTAAATCAAATGGAGTATGCAGACTGTGTGTGTCGTCCACTGAGTTATCTTTATGCTTAATGAGATTGAAAAATCAAGTATTAATTTACGACTCTAGAAAACCTAAGGTTAGTCGATCCAGGTATTTGTCACTTTGGTGTGATGTGTTCTCTAAGTAAGCGCCCTCTCTATTTGAAATCATAAAGCTTCTGTCAATGAATATTCAAACAAACAATAAATCAATATGGAAAAATACAAAAAAAAAATGCTAGTATTTTTGTAGTGTTTTTTCAATATTTTTAAATCGTCTGTATACGATCATTTCAATGATAATCTGAATTTTATTCAAAAGGATACTGCTTATTTTTTTATTAGAAAAACAGTACTAAATTTTATGCATGAGAGACCGATCGCTGTAAAATGATCGCTTAGTATCTTTTACAACGTAGCAACAAGTTGTAGCAAGATATCATACAGTTTATATAAGACTATAGCTTCTTAACGAAGGTTATGGGAGTGGAGACAAATAAACTTTTCACTGATATGTGTTTCTAAACAGAGATAAATCATTGCGCGAAATAATATAATGAACGTTATTTACGATTTTTTCGATTAATTCTGTAAATAAAATACTTGTTTCAAACTCCGAGTTGATGCTTATTAAAGTTTTACTCTTTGTCTGAAAAGGATGAGAAATAAAAATAAAATAATAGGGTTCAACACAGGAAATGATAAACTTAATCGATGTGATAAATTAAAATACGCTAATTGAATATATATATATATATATATATTAGGAAGGTTCAGCTGACTGGCGCAACAAAGGTCAAGTATGGATCGTGTAACCTGATCAACTGTGAGTTTCACACTGTAGACTGTGAGTGTATTCTAGCTAGCTAGTGTACAAATAACATTATTATTCGTCCAGGAGTTTTGAAACGCACGACACATGACAATCACGTGTCATGTCAACTGTTGTTTGTTTTCTTTTTAATTTTTTGCATAATGATAAATTTGTATGATGGAAAACCCTTCTTTTATGTCGAATTTGTTTGTTTGTTGTTAGCGTAAAGCTACACAATGGGCTACCTGTGCTCTGCCCATCGCGCGTAAACCCGAGGTTTAGAGTTATCGTTGAACCATGGAAGGGGGAGGGTTGTTTAGAACCAAAACAAACATATATAGCTTTTTTGATGGTGGTCGTCTAGTCACATATAAAGTTTTTTGTTGTTTTTCTGCTTTTCAGGCAAACCTGAACTATGGATATTTCTACTAGCCTTTCCTAATTTTAAAATAATAGACAATGGAAAAGACAGCTAGTCAACAATGCCCACCACCAATACATGGGCTAATCGATTTGAATAGCAGTTTTGTCTGTCGCTCTTATAACGCATCTACGACTGAAATGTGCGTAGCGCGATCTTCTTCTTCTTTTTTTTTTTTTGAGGCATTAGGACTCAAACCATAGATCCTTAGATGTCATGTCCGGAACGCTAATAAACCTAGACCACGCCTATGTAGAAAGTAATGTAGAATATTTTCCGTTAAATTGCTAAGTATACATTTTGAATTCGGAACATGACACACTACTTGATTTGAACACAGTTCAAAACCACTTTATATTCTAAGAATCACGTTACGTTTATTTGTGTTTTAAACGCAAATTCGCAAATGGATATCTGTGCTATGCCAGGTCCCAGACATCAAACCCCGAATTTTAGCGTTATAATTACTCTACGTAAAGATTTGCTTAAAAAACGTATTTAAAATATAAATTGTGTTAAGCTTTCTTGTCATATCCTTGTTGTACACCACTCTACTAAGCAAGTATCTACGCCAGTTCCAACTACAGACGTTTTGCTATAAAAACACTACTGGATATTAAAGACAGTTTAGTTGAGTATGCATTCCTAAACACAGCTGCAGTATGGTGCGTCTTAACGTACAGGGAACGCTGAACCCAATTTTAACAAAGGTATAAATCTAAAACTTCAAGTTATACTAAGTAATATAAATATACAATCCAATTAAATATTTACTTTATTATTGACTCTATAGCCAAAAATAATGGTTTATGAAAGGTTTTATATATTTTATTCGTTGTTGGCGCGGGTGACTCTTTACATAAATCAAATCATTTTTCAAAGTCAGTACTTTACACCTGAATGTGATTTTGTCCCCTTATTAGAATTTTCCATATTTTCCGTTTACTTTGAAAATTGTCAGTAGAGCCGCCTTGCGACGTTTGTTATAAAATAAAAGCGTGGTTGGTTACCTGCACTTGTCTACCCTCTCATAACTGAGTGTGATCTATGAATACAGAATTACCAGTTGTTCAAATTCTCGTTTCGGTTGTAGAAACAGGAATGTCTACTAAAGACACGTGAAAATATTTCTTGGGGATATAGATTTGTTACAGGTACAGTGATTAACGTCTCGAACTTTCTTGTGTCATTGTGAAAGGCAGTGTACAACTGTCACAGGTAGGTAGAGATCGTGGCATGCGGTTAATGCTAAGTGAATTTGATTAGTTCAACAATAATTCTACTTCTTGCTATGAGGGTATATATACGTTTTAAGTTGATTCTCTTCTTAATTTCTATCAAATAAGATTGTGTATTTTCACCGTCTGCTTTCAGTCAACGAAGATGCAGTTTCAAGTTTTTACTTTGTGGCCATGCGCATTTGAAGTTTTAGTTAAGTTTATTCTACGTTTAAACTAGTTCAGTGCATTTTGTCTTATCATCCACATATCAAAGTATGTTTTATGTTTTATACTGAATTGTACTTATGTTAATACAGATTTTGTGGTTTCCTGTTACGCTTATGCCTGTTTTTTTTTACTTCGTAGATCCAGATACCTTGTTCTTCAACGCTAACAGTGAATTTCCAGTTCTGTTATCCTGCGAGCTTGTAACTATCTGTTAATTTGTTATTTTGCTCCCCAGTGGCACAGCGGTATGTCTGTGGATTTACAACGCTAGAATCCGGGTTTCGATACCCGTGGTGGACAGAGCACAGATAGCCCATTGTGTAGCTTTGAGCTTAATTACAAACAAGCAAACAAGTTTGTTATTCCAATAATGATTACCACACTATTAGTTTGAAAGACCATTTCGATACCGTGGCA